ACCTATATTTACCATGTTTATCTATAATATCATATTTCATATGTTAATAATACCTATGTTTATAATACCTATAATATCATGTTTCACGTCGAATTGCACATGAAAATATGAAAATCTTATAACGTATCATTTGAACAAACAGATAAAAGATATATGTGATTTTTAAGATTAATACTGATATTTGAGAATTAATATAATTTTATTTAATTATAATCATCGTGAAAATATCTTCAACTATTTTCTATACTTTATCGATAAGTTAAAAGAAACAAAGATTTAAAAAAATAATATATTAATTTAAATTTATTCAGATCCTGATCAGTTAGCCAAAGAATGTCAATGCGATGGGTGCAAAAAGAAGAAAGTTATTCTTCATGCGAACAAACCTTGGAAAGAGACTAAGGCTTTCTTTACGTAAGTAAAAATTAAATATTTTGTATTATACATGCAAAATATGAATTATAAATTTACACAATTGTGAAAATTGTCACAAAGTTAACAGTTTAGTTGGCGTTTTCATATGCAATTAATATTATGCTATTGTAGGAAATTTCTAATTATTGTGGGATGGATTATCCTGCTGCTCTTAGCCTATAAGGTGTCCCAATTTGACTATGAAATGGCCAACTTTGACCCGTACGAGATATTGAGTATACCACCTGTAAGTATAAAATAGAATTTTTATATGTATCGTTAATTTTGTTACGTAACAAAAATGGATGCCAAAAATTCCGATTGTAGGGTTCTTCCCAAAGTGAAATTAAGAAAGCTTACCGTAAGCTCTCCTTAATTCTTCATCCTGACAAAGAAACAGGAAATGAGAAAGCTTTTATGAAATTAACTAAAGGTAAGGAACGCGAGAGAATCTCTGCACAGATCTAAAATATACGATGTAAATATTGAATGTATATTGCGCATATTTTATTAAATATATTTAATAAATTTATAACACATTTATTGCATATGATAATAATGCAGCATAGGAAAGGTTGATAAAGATCGTTAAAAGTACTCGCATTTGAAATTAATCCTATAACAGTTAAAAATTAAATATTTGATGTTAATTTTTGAAAATTATCCTAAGAGTAAGTTGCTATTACTAATACCTTAAGTCTCGATATAAATTGAGTTGTTTTTCTATTAACAAAAATAGCTTACCAAGCTTTAACGGATGATGAAGCACGAAAAAACTGGGAAAAATATGGAAATCCGGATGGTCCAGGGGCGATGAGTTTTGGTATAGCTTTGCCTTCTTGGATCGTTGAAAAAGAAAATTCAGTATGGGTCTTAGGACTATACGCATTAGTGTTCATGGTTGCTTTACCAACGGTTGTAGGAATGTGGTGGTACAAGAGTATTCGCTACACTGGTGATCAAGTAATTGGCATTTTTATGCCAAATTTTTATATGTGACAAAATTATTAGTTGTTATATATATCCATATTTATCTCTAGGTTCTCTTGACAACAACCGAAATGTATTACTTCTTCTTCGTGAAAACGCCGTCTATGTCATTAAAGAGAGTTATCATGATACTCGCTGCTTCCTTTGAATTCTTCAAGAAGCGTAATGCAGAAATAGTCGAGAGACACTCTGACAGCGAAGAAGTTCCTTCGGTAAATTTAATTATATTTAATTTCTTGATTTTTTTTTTAAAGAACAATTTTACTATATATTATATATTTCAGCTTATCAAACAGCTACCTAACTTGGGAGAAAAAAATAAAGAAGTACCATTATGTCACTTGTATTCAATTAAAGCTAGAGCACTATTGCACGCGCATTTATCTCGTATACCACTTAATCCAGAGACACTGGATAAAGATAGACAGTATATTGTAAAGAAATGTCCATATTTGATTCAAGAAATGGTTGCCTGTGTCCATCAAGTTATACTTTTAGCTTATGCCAGAAGAGGTAAATATTCGATTTTTTCCAATGCAACTTTGTAACATATATGTATAGATGGAAACAATCATTGATGACTTTTTTTTATAGTACCGCGGGTACCAACCATAACAACTATAGAAAATTGTATGAAACTGTGTCCAATGGTCGTCCAAGGATTCTGGGAGTTTAAAAACCCTCTCCTTCAATTACCACACATAACGGAGGATAATTTAAAATACTTCCACGCGAAGAAGGTATTAGTGACACTATAACAAATTCTATCTACTGATAATGCTTGTATTATTATCAATAAAACCTCTTAATAACAAATTTATGACTTTCTAGCGTCAAATCAAAAGTCTTCAACAATTCGCACAATTAAAAGGAGAAGAACGAAGACTGATACTTCGAAATTTGTCAGACAGTCAATATGAAGATGTTATAAAAGTTCTTGGAAATATGCCGTACATTGACTTCAAAGTACGATCCGAAGGTAATTCATTATTTATATCAGTTATTTTCTTTTATTTTTGTAAAACACATTAATTAGAATAACATAATTTTTATGAGGTATTATATATCTTTTATAATTTACTGTATGAATTACTTCAGTAATCGATGATGAAAATCCTACTGTCTACACTGCTGGTGCTATTGTAACCGTAACAGTATCCCTTACGCGAAAAGATATGAAGCATCTGTTTGGAGATGATTCTGTTAATGAGCAAACGATGATCGAGGATAATAAAGCCGGCGGTGAAGCGGTTGAAGAAGCCTCAGAGGAACAAAATCAATCGACGAAAGCTACGAAGCCGGCATGGCTTAAGCAAAAGAAAGGCCAAAAGAAGTCACATAAAAAGGGTACGAACAAGAAGTTAGCTCCTGCTAAAAATACACAGGCACAGTCTCAGGCTGTGGCTAACAATACTCAGCACAGCAATACTCCTAATGCAAGAAAGAAAGACGATAAGACGGAGAAAGAGTCTTCCAAGGAGAAATTGTCGGATGTTAGTGACAGTGAAGCCGAGAGCGATCGAAGTGATGATGAGGATAGTCACGATAAAAAAGATGCGTCTCCCGATGACGACGATACCGAATGGGAAAAGTAAGAAGAATATTTATACTTACTCTTTTTACGTTCTATATTAAATAATTTCTTACATATCTCTTCCGCAGTCGAACTTAACGTTTCTTTCTCTTTCAAATAGATTCCAACAGAGGATCTCCAAACGGGAGAGAGTACTAGAGGGAAGGAGTAATTTGTCGCATGAAGTGCACTGTCCGCTCTTTCCTGATGTTAAGCAAGAGTATTGGTGGGTCTATATCTGTGATCGCAAAAGTCAAACGCTATTAACAACCCCTATACATGTCACGTCTTTAGCACAGTTTGAAGAGATTCAATTAAGATTCACAGCACCACGCTGGCCAGGCCTTTATACATTTACAGTGTGTTTACGTAGCGATTCATATCTGGGCTTTGATCAAGCTCAAGATATCAAAGTGAGTTATTTAAGAAACTATCTAAAAAAATTCATTTTTTAATTATTTATATTTGTAACGATGCAACGATGCTTTATAGTTGGATGTGAAGGAGGCACCAGAAATACCGACCGAACATCCGCAATGGGACATCTCGGATGAAGAAACTGCGGAAGATGTGGATGCAGCTGATGAACATTCCGAATTCACAACTGACGAGGACATTAGTGACAATGAATAATATCTGTTTCTCACATGTGATCGGAATAGATATTCTCTAAAAGTCCGCATTTTCCTCTTTTTTTACTTCTCAAATTAATGTACAATGGACTTTTATACGTGGAATTGCATAATCGTTGATGTATGTGGACAATCTAGAAAAATAGTCTGGTGTGTAAGATTTGTCAGTGTGGAGAAAGTAATAGCGAATAAAGAACATAATATTTATTTTAACATCGTTGTTCAATCCTCAATTTGGATGTGTTCAATCTTGAATTGAGATCTGTATACAGTTTTCTAATAAAATATATCAGTACAAAAAAAATATATCTATTCATATTAAGATGTTTTCTTAAACTCATTGTATGAACGTGTTCTTCACGATTATAGCGATATACAAAAGATAAATATCATCAAATCTGGGTTAAGTGAAAGTAGAAAAGATATTTAAGCTACACACATATACAGATCATATAAAAGATCACTCAACCGTTGTACTTTTTATTATAGACGCGATAAATCTAAAGCATTCGCTGATCTACTGCAAAGACAGTCTAAAAGAGTATTGTTAGCTAGATAGATCTGATATATGTTAACAATGAGCGTAATATTTCGTGCAATACAAGTGAGTATGTAATATTTTATATTTTTTAAAAAGCGGAATAAAAATTATTTTATTCATATATAAAATTAATTAATAATTAATTAATTTTAGTGAATGTTTAGTAATAGGGACCACCCTCCAATGACTTGACATATGTTATCAAGTTCATGATTCTGAGTGACCTCCAATAGATTTTGCTCGGCGCTCGTTAAAAGTTATTAACAAAAAATTCTGCTATATAAAACAAAAATTCTCTGCTGTAAAGTAATTTATGATTTTGTAATGACTTTTTATTCGAAGTGAGATCCACCCTACTTCCCCCTCTGTTTAGAGCGCACGACTTTCCAGGCGAAGCGAGGTCTACATTACATCCCCCCCCCTCTTGCTTAAAAAGATGTAAGCCCTTAGACTGGAGGGAAAGTAAGGTAGACCTCGCGTGGAAAGTCGAAAATCCATGTGGAATAGTATTATAGATCTCGTTTCGTCCCGTAACGTGTACTTTGTAAGTGAACAACATATGCCAAGGTTAAGACCATTGGAGGGTGATCTTTATTACTAATTTACCTTTCACATGTAGAACATATGTATATACTCACATTGCATATCAAACTAAATGAAAATATTTATATTTAGCTTAAGTATACATAAAATTCATCAAATGTATTTTTTCATAGCCATATATATATATTTGGGAATTATTGTTTCTTTAATATTAAAATAACTATTTCTTTTGAGTTTTCTAAAATGTGTATTGCATGCTTATTCAAAAATTAGTTTTTATACATTTAATATACATGTATTGCGGGTGTGTAAGACGTTTGTAAAGTCAGAGCCCTTTTATTTATAAAAGTTAAAAAATATACTATTAAGTTATAAAAATATACTTTAATAGATGTTTCTGAACAGGTCAGAATGACAGATATCAAACAATAAAATTGGAGCAACTGTTCAACAAACCTATCTACACGTTCGTTAAAACTGATGAAAATGCTAATATTAAGTGGGGTGTACGATATTATGTTCCACGTACATTAAAGCAAACTGGATTCAAGAATTAATGTATTAAAATAGGAATTAGAAGATGCTTAATATGCTAAAACTGCTAGTTCGATGACATAAATTAGTACAGATATAAGCGATATTTTAATCACGAGTCTAATTTAAGTACTTCAAGGTATTTTTTCTGCATTTGAGCTATCAAATTGTCCAACCTAAAAAGATAAAACACAAGATAAATCTGTGTTAAAATTGAACATTGTAATAAAAAAAAAAACTTACATGTAACGCATGATCAAATTATCGTATATTACATTATCTTCTGATTGAATAATGCTGCTTAATTCAGTAGTCAAGATATTTACAGATTGATAGTTGTTAGATTGTTGAGGAACACTGTTAGTGTCAGACTGTGTCATTCTTTGATATTCTTCCCAATATAATTCAGTCATAGCAGTAACAGAAATAAATACTTTTTCTAGTTTTGATAATTCATCTTGTAACTTATCTATCTGCCTGTAGAAAATACATATTGAAGATATATGAGACGTATCGTTTACAATAAATAAACTTTTAGTACCTTGTAATATCAATTATGTTTTCATTATAAAGTTGTGTTTCACGTGTAATCACGAATTCAAACACTAATTTCGACATGTCCAATGGTCTTGCTGTTTTATGTGGACTTTCTTCCTTAAATTTCAAATACACATCACACATCTTGTCATATCTATAAAAATAGTATAAGAGAAAATATTCAAATGTAGCACATTTTACAATAATTATTTATAATACATTATACACTTACAGTACTGATAAATTTCCTATATAATCGGTCGCTTGAGCTTGATCTCTCAATTTATTGTTATCTTCCTTCAAAGATGTAAACTTCATTTTTATTTGATCGGCTGCACTAATTAATTTATCAACTTTATTAAGATAAATTTGTATCTTCCTTTTATCAGCTGCGTCTTCGTCCGTCGTATTCATATATTTCATACGAATCGTATGTACTTGATCTGTAAGAATCTTTGTATTTTTCAATGTCTTCTCCATACTCGAATTAAATTTATCGATCTTTTGATGTAATAAATCCCTAAAATATGCGAAATATTATTGAAATATTATCATACTTAATAGATAGTTTTATAATTTTGTAGCATTAATATTATGTACGAAACTTACAAATTTATACTCAATGCAAAAATGTACAATTGAAATAAATACATTTCTGATTTCGTAAAATATATTGTATGGCGATAATAATCTTTCAGTACTTCATAGTTTAATTCATTCTTCGATTGTGTCATCATTTTCTCTACTGCTGTAGGAATATTTAATATAGGTATATTTTCTATTAAATAACATCCATTTCTGAAGAGAAACAAAACGTGATCCTACAGCAAAATTGTAATAAATTTAAAAATAGTATTTTATCTTGTGGTATCTTACAAATTGAATATACGTACATTAATTTGTGATGCAAGTGACATGGTACTTTCGATCAGTATTGCACCTTTATAATCAGTTAGCACTTGATGTTTGACTTCAATATTAGTATCTCTTTCTATTAACAACTGAAGATCTCTAAGAGTAGTATTACTATCAATTTCGTATGTATTAATTTTGTAAAATGGCAGACAGAAAACGTACAGTATCTATGAAAAACATAAATTAAATAATAAAAACGAAATAAGAATAAAATGCTTGGCTTTTATATATACATACTTTGTTTAATAATGCATCTTGTAACATTGTAAATACCGCTAAATGGGATGTACCAAATTTGTCAACTATTTTTCCTCTTTCATGTGGATCCCATTGTAAAACTAGTTGAAACCATTGGACCATTTTGTTTCGAAGACAGCTGATACAAGAAAAAAATATTACACACTGATAAATATACAGTATAAAAAATTATCAAACAAAAGTTACATAAAAAAATTGTTCTTTCTACAGGAGAAAGTATAGAAAAAATATATAATACATTCTTACTTCGATAAGTGAGTTGGATTTTGAATGTCTTTTCCAAAAATGACTTTTCCTTCTGATTCATAAGCATGAATATCGTCATAATTCTTATTTTTAATGTATTTCATCCTGCAAAATTTAATTAAACTTAGAATTTGATACTTGCATCACTTTTTTATTTCATCATTATATTTTTCACTTTTTACCACTCCATAGTATGTTGCATTGTTGGTAAAAATGGTCTTGTTCCAGTCACAAGTTCATAATACAATATTCCTAAACTCCAGTAATCGACAGAACAACTATATTTCTCTCTCCAAAGAAGTTCTGGGGCAACATAGTTTAAAGTGCCGACTAAAGAGGCAGATGTGCTTGCTTCTCCAAGTTCTTTGGCATATCCGAGATCTATTAATTTATATGAAATCTGTAATAAATTTAAGTTTAATTTAATCAATGCAACACATAAGTTATTGATAATTCAACATAAATAATTATCTCATTATATATCTCACCACATTCTGTTCATCCTGTAAAACTATATTCTCTGGTTTTAAATCTCGATGAGTTATATTATATGAATGTAAATATTTTACAGCCGATGAAATTTCACTCATTACTTTGATCGCTTCTGTTTCACTAATTCCACAACAATTTTCTGGTCGATTTAAAATCTGTAAGAAAAAGAATATAATTATTTTACATTATTAATAGACTTTGTATGCTTTGTATAGACCAGGTTTTAAACACAATACAACTTTTCTCAAATCTCCTTTTCTACAATACTCCATACAGAGAATTGGTTCGGTTTCTTCTACATTTGGAAGCTTGAACGGGATGCATCCTGTTCTCACGATGTTTGGATGCTTCAAGCGTTTCATTATAAAAACTTCATGGGCCCATCTCTTTCGTTGCGTTGACATCAATTGTGAATAATTACATTTACATCTTTTGATTGCTGAAATTATAATTATATACAATAATACATATTTATTATATATTTAAAATGTTATAAGTTTGTTTATATGTATGATTCTTCTCAGATAATTCTTCAAAGATATATATATTTTTTATATTTATACTTATAGTCATACTGAAATATTACCAATTTTTTTGCCGCTTTGAACATGTATCCAAAGCTCGACAACCCCAAAACCTCCGCTACCCAAAACACGATTTAGTTTCCAATCATCATTCGACGTCATCTCGAATTTGTAAAATAAAATTTGCTTCTAGAAGCTATACAGATCGAGGACTAAATAATTCTTAGTAAACGTGATTCCATGCTGATAAAATAAATAACATTTTTATAATTTTCGTAAAAAAGGTATGTTCATACACACAAATTATAACATTACTTACCGAACAATCGAGTTTTTCTATCGAAAATGCATCAGCGCGGCAAGGAAAAGAAATTATTTTATGACGTAAATTCTTTACCAATATTGTCAATGTTGTCAATTATTAACCTGCATATATGATTCAATATTTTCCAGATATCTCATTTGTGTATCGATGGTATAAGTATACCGATTGGCTACTGACTGAACATGTGACCGTCCTTATGACATTTTAAGCTGGTTCTACATTGATCGCATCGCAGCGTCGCAAGCGTGTCGCAAGCGTTGCAGTCCAATCAGAGTCGAGCTAGCTTGACATTGATTGGACCGCAACGCTTGCAACGCTGCGATGCGACTAATGTAGAACCAGCTTTAGGTTTGTTGCGTCGCATGCTCCAACGTGTTCCAATATGCTCCACCATAGTTCTTACTCACTCCAACACGCTTGATAGAGTGAATAGGAGCTATGGTAGGAGCATATTGGAGCATATTGGAGATTGCGACGCGAACGAACCTTAAGCTGGTTCTACATTAGTCGCATCGCAGCGTCGCAAACATTTTGGTCCAATAAACGTCAAGCTCGACTCTGATTGGACTGCAACGTTTGCGACACGCTTGCGACGCTGCGATGCGATCAAGGCTGCGTTCAGCAGAACGTTTGTTTTGCAACTGTTGGAAGTTTCCTTCGCGCTGATTGGATCATACTTTTATATCTAGAAGAATGGTCCTATCTCAGCAGACAATCATAAAACGGTTGCAAAACTGTTGAGTCTGCTGAACGCAGCCATTGACAAATTCAAATTTGATCAACCAAAACGAAAAGAGGAAACTAAAATTTCTTTGTCCTTATTGGTCAAATTTCAATCTTCAATCTTCAACCTCAATCTTCAATGCGTAGTTTGATTCCGGCCTTATGGTTCCTGCACACTGGACGCGGAAACGCTGCCGCGCAGCAAAATGTGACAGGTTAGCCAATAAGCTTACAGCTCCTAACATGTTCATTGGCTGCGTTCAACAGACTCAACAATTTTGCAACCGTTTTATGATTCGTCACGCTGATTGGATTAAACTTTTAGATTTAAAGGAATAGTCCTATCTCAGCGCAGAATCATAAAACGGTTGCAAAACTAGTGCCTGCGTTCAGCAGACTCAACAGTTTTGCAACCGTTTTATGATTGTCTGCTGAGATAGGACCATTCTTCTAGATCTAAAAGTATGATCCAATTAGCGCGAAGGAAACTTACAACAGTTGCAAAACAAACGTTCTGCTGAACGCATCCGTTGAGTCTGCCGAACGCAGCCATTGAACATGTTAGGAGCTGTAAGCTTATTGGTCGCATTTTACCGCGCGGTAAGCGTTTCCGCGTCCAGTGTGCTAAAGCCATTAGTCATGGTGGAAATACGTAAGATGAGCTATTCCCGTGAATGCGCAGTAGCCTAAAAAGTAGTGGGGAATTGACAGCCAATCACATTTGAGCAATATTATAAAAGCGCGTGAATTAGTGGTGGTGAAATTTGTTGGTTCACATTTGATTGGTCGTCCCCATTATGCGCAATAGCTCACCTTACGTATTTTCACCGTAGGTCTTGATCCTACTGTATATTCTTGCCGACTATGCCGATACTGATTCTACGCGTCGTGCATTAAGAACTAAGAACCGTTTGTTTCGTCTCTTCCTGTAGTTCAGTGATTCTGCATTCTATCTGATTCTATCTGATCGTCTTGCTCGACTGTTTCGAATCGCCATTCGTCGTTCGAGACGCCTCAGCTTATTTTAGACTTAAATGGATATAGATTGCATCGCACGAGTCCGTGAAATGCTCTATGGGATACGAAGAAATATTTTTCTCTTTATTTTCACCTGATACAAGGCACTTCGCAAAAGTATAAATAACGTTACATTTCGCAGTCTTTCATATTTTCAAGAAGCATCTGTGTTTTCCTTGCTGGCACGGGAACGAAGGTTGTAAGAAGGCGTTTGAAGGCGATGGCATCGCAAGAAGCACAGGATTTTCATATGGCATACGACATGCATGAAAAGTTGAATTGTTTAGGCGTGACAGAAAACGCAGTTAGCTTGAATAAGGTATTTATTTTCTTCGTTTGAGAAACTGATCATCGTATCAAAAATAAATTTACTTTAAATTTGATATCTTTATTGTATTGTAAAAGAAAATCGTTTATTTTTAGAAAAATGCTTATATACAATCATTAGTCGATCAAGCATTGGAGTTGATCGATCCCACTCCTAATATTCACACAATGTTTATACAATTTAATGCAAGATTCTTCTGGAATGTTTTATCTTCTGTCGAAGTTAAATGGAGTAACAGAATGACAAGGTAAATATTTCTCATGACTCGAGGCATTTTCTAGAAAGGACAAGTGTAACACAATGAATCATTATATCCTTGTTGTTTACTAATATGAAACAAAGATGAAATAATTCACTGTGTTATACTATGTTCTTGCTGATATAAAATATTATTATATAGAGGGTATTCCACTCTCAAAGCTGATAAAATCATTTCATCTTTGCTATTTACCAAGTATTAAACAAGGGGGTCGTTTGTGTATTTTGAAATGCAATGAAAATTACAAAAGTGAGCAAATTCACTAAAATATTTTTGTCATTAATCAACACTTAATTTGTTCTTTTGTACTTTTGTAATTTTTACCTCGTTTCAAGATACACAAGAAACAACCCCAAAAATAAATAATTACGAGCGCCAAGTGTCTTTATACAAGGTTTGTTTTCTGTTCCTACACTGATTGCACTAGTTGAAAAAGTATACTAAAGCGTTTTGTGTTCCCAAAATGGCATCAGCGACACTTCCAGTGCAATAAAATTTGGTGCACGAGTTCACTGAACTGGTTGCACTAGGTCTGGAGTCAGTGCAAGCAGTGTAAGTACTGGTGTACACTAGTTTAGCCACAGAAAACAGATCTTGTACAAATAGTGCAAGAGTTTACGAGTAATAAAACAATAAAAAATATATAAATGATAGTAAGCTTATATACAAAAATATTTTGTTCATCAGTTCTAGATTGTACTAATTGCAATCCTCGTACAAGAACAGATAACTATAATATGCAATTGTTTGTAGTTGTGCTGGAGTATGTCGCTTTCACTCGCGTAATAAGGAATGTGTGATATCACTCAGTGCACCTCTACTTAAACTGAGACCAAGAAAAGATCTAGTAGAGACCTTATTGGTAAGTTTTTCAATATTAGTAGTAGTAGTAGCAGGAGGAAGAATAGATTAAGTTCTTATGAAATGAATTACAGAAGAAATAACATCAGAATTAAACCTGGGATTTGCTAATTATTTTCTTCTCATTCTTTAATTGGCCAACAACAAATCATCAACTAATTTAAGTCTTACATACACTTAATTAAACTTGTCTTTTTGATCCAAGGGATACATAGTCAGTTTACATGGTACCCCTAATTAGATTTAACAACATCTGTAGTTATGAAACTAACCAATCATAGCTATTCTTGTAAAGAAAGAAATGACTGATTGGCCAGTTTCATAACTAAGGATGTTATTAAATCCGATTAAAGGTACCGTGTAAATGTGATCAGTGTAGTAAATAGTGCTTCTCAAGTGGGATTGTTACTCATAGCTGAAGTGTAACTTAAACGCAGGAAAAATCCCGCGTATGTGAGGCACGGATGGAATCGAACTCGGATCTACGGATTGCTAGTTCGCAGACCGAGCGCTGAGCCATTCCATGCCTCACTTGCCGAGTATTTTAACATAGAGTCACTCCAAGTTTCTTGATAAATAAATACTACTTTGATCAAAAAGTTTCCGGAATTATTACCACCAGGTGATGCTTTGAGTCAGCTGATTTGAGTTCTGTTTTTTTGGTTAGATTGCCACATCTATCATTGACATTTTCACCAAATTTTATCGCCATAGCTTGACATTTGTAAAAGTTACGCCGTCTTGAGTACATCTACCTCTGCACGGTTTTCGATTTTTCTATTACCTCCTTTCGCCTTAAAACGCATTCCCCGTAGTGGTTTTTTGACTCGATCGAACAGAAAAAAATCGCAGGGAGCCATATCGGGTGAATTCGATGGCTATTGGATGGTATTCGTTTCGTTCTTGGTCAAAAATTCACGGATGTTGCAAATTCAACTCCATTTTTAAAACTGTAAAAAATCGAAAACCGTGCAGAGGTAAATGTACTCAAGACGGCGTAACTTTTACAAATGTCAAGCTATGGCGATAAAATTTGATGGAAATGTCAATGATAGATGTGGCAACCTAATCAAAAAAACAGAACAGAGCATCACCTGGTGATAATTCCGGGAACTTTTTGATCAAGATGGTATAGAAATATAATTGTATAAGGATGTTATGTATATTGATAATATTTTTATGTGTTAAATTGCAGCACGAGATGATCCATGCGTATTTATTCTTAACAAATAATGACCTGGACCGAGATGGTCATGGACCGAATTTCTGCAAACATATGCACAGGATAAATAAAGAAGCGGGAACCAACATAACGGTGAGCTAATAACTTTTTTATCTTAATATTTAGAGTATATTGTTGAACAGTGATATGTGACTACTCCAAAAATCTACATTGTCACAAATAGTCCTTAAAACTGTTCATTATGACAGAAAGCACATTTCAATAATTATTCAATTAATTATTCAAATTCGTGTTTCTAAAAGAAAAATTTATATTTTATCATAAAGTCTAATCATATTAATACAATTGTTGCATAACACAAACTCGTTTGGATATTGGAGAATCTTTAAGCTTAAAAAATCTTGATTTATTACAAAGATTAAATATCCGAATGTAGCTTAAACTTAATTTTATTCAAATAAATTTTGAAAAGCAAATTCTTAAAAACAATTTTGTTTGTGCATTTATAATAATAATTTTGTACTTTTTTAATTTTTAAATTTTTTTATTCTGTAATAACAAAATTCTTTTATCATGTTAATCGAGTATAGATTTATCACAACTTTCATGATGAAGTAAAGCTGTACAAACAACATTGGTGGAAATGTAACGGACCTTGCCAATACAGACCACCATTCTTTGGAACGGTTCGACGAAGCATAAATCGTCCGCCCGGTCCATTAGATTTTTGGTGGCATGAACATCAACAAAATTGTAATGGTCAATTTTTAAAGATCAAAGAACCAGAGAATTTCAAATCGCGTTCAA